TGTTTTTGCATTACCACTTTAAAAATAAAAAAAGTAAGATTATAAAATTCCACTAAACTATTCATCAAATTGCTACTGTGATAGTTTGATGACTCTTACTTTATAAGCATAGTAACTTTAATTAAACATATTTCCATGACGGTAAAAAACCCAAGACCACTTAGGACCTTTTTCCCTCTTCTTCAGATTAATGTTTTAATAGAGTGCTTGTAAATCCAGTAGTAATAATAAGTTCATCACAAAAAAATCCTACTATATAATCCTAACACGAAACAGTAAGAAAAGCAAAATTCCTTTACTTGAAATTATGAAAGTTCCCTTTTACACAATGATTTGTATGAACCCTATAAAAATCCTCTCAAACTATTACAATATGATTACCTTAAAAATTATATGTCAGTATTCACAATTTCTGAGTTCTTATTCTAGGAAAAGGGACCGCACAGAAAGGATGGAACAATGGTATGGAAACTTACCATTCTCTCCAATTGGACTCTTTATTACAGACTTATTGGTTCCATGTGTTTAAAAAAAAAAATTGAAACCTTTAAGCCAACCCCAGTCCCTAAAATTTTTGGAACTCTTATTAAACATTGGATCCAGAAAAAAAAAAAAAGCATTTTTTTTATTATCGCAAGCCTATCAGAGTCAAGATTTATTTCATCATTATGGGAATGTGTTCGAAATTAATAAAGGTTGCTTTCTAAAAGGCTTAAAATATGCTATTTAAAGCTGCTAAAATACCACAAATTACTTGATCTCAATAGTTAAATAAAGAATGCCTATTTTGAATATTTTGTTCTAAAACACATAATACAGATTCATTTGGAGGAATACTGAAATGGATGAGGTTAACACGTTTTTTGCACAGTAAAGATTTATTTTTAAAGCTGTGGTTATATAAAGCCGAGGAACAGAAACATCACATAAAATTAATTCATATAATTTTTTGAAACAAAATCTTTGCTCAACCTATACAATGAGGTCAATGAATTACCTAAACTCTGTTGTCTTTATACATTTCCACAAATCAGGGTGCACAATGCGAATGCACTATTCCCTAAAGGAAGCTCATCTCCAAGTTTTGGTGTGTGTGTCAAAGGAAAGAAGGAAAAAGCTCCCTCGCCCCAAAGTGAGAACAGATGGGAATGTAAAATTAGATGGGAAAAGACAGGGAAGCTTTGGATGACCGACCAAGAAATCTTCCCCTGAGGGGAGCCAAATCTACCAGACCTCGGCTTGTTCTGCTTCCCAGTTAACTTCCAAATTAAATCCAATAGGTATACAAAGCAGTCCTTAGATTCGACGTATTGGTTTTGATTTTTATGAGCATTTATATTAATTTTATGAAGAAATCATTGATAAATATGCTACCAAAATTTATATGCAATCAATATAGTGTCCTAATCACTTTTGTGAGTTTAACGTTACTTCAAACCTAATGTTCACAATGAAATTTTTTAAAATAATAAATGGCTTTATAAACAAAAGGCAACAGGCATGAACAAACTTGCATACGATGAACTCCTTGTATGATGGAAGAACCGTCTGGTATAAATTGAATATTTATGTAAATAAAATACGAATATATTTCATATTCATTCTTTTCATATTTTATCTATATAACTAAAAATAATCTTAATAGTAATGCCAGCAGTACTTCCTACACCTGGCAAAAAAAATTCCTTTATTTGATATCTAATTATATATAGCATGATATAATTTTTCTATCTAAAAATAACAACTATAATCTTAAAAGAATACTTTTTAGTGCTATATTCTCTTCAATATTTTTTATTTTTAATATGGGTGATAATTTAGAATTGGAGGAAAACAAAATGGTGCTCTGAGGTTTGAATATATTTAAAAACAGTAGTTTATTTTTAATAACCATTCTCTTAAAATATTATAATATTAGTTTAAGAGCAATTTTGTAAGATTAACCATGAACTTTTAAAGAGCTACCAGATTATCTTCACAAAATAGTGTTTATGGAGCAGATTATTTCATGTATGCTGTCTCTCACATAAAATTTACATTCATCAATACAAAGAGAATAACTCAGTATTTTAATAAATAGTGCTCAAAATTATAGATCATTCTCATCCATAATCAAAACTTCTTTTCCAAGACAACAATGAAACGTTCTGTGTACCTTTTCCCTGTCATCCCAGAATATTGGCTTTCAATGTATCTTAACCCTGTTTTATCTTTTTTAACCCTACTAAGTATACACAACAAAAGTAAATATAGGAGAAATATGATTCCTTCCAAGTGGTAAAAGCAACTGCATCTCACACCTAAGGGATTTCAGTTTAAACAACCCAAGGCCCTGGTAATTTGATACGGGCTTCACTTTTAATAGGGAATGAGGCCTTCCAAATAAGATGTTTAATAAATAATACATGGCATTTAGTTGAATACATGCATGAAATAATTACTGAAAAGTAGATTTTATTGTCCAGAGTACTCTAAATTATATGCAATCACTATCACCAACAAAGAAGAAAGTTTCTCAAGGTGTCTACCTTGCTTGCTTGCTTGCTTTCTTTCTTTCCTTCTTTTTAATCTCCCTTATGAATATATAAAAGCCACAACAGGCAAGCTTTTGGGGATACTATGTTGATTACATTTTATTAAAATTCATTTTCCACACTTTCCATTTATGCAAATAAAATTAGAATTAAGCAAAAACTATTAACATTTTCAAATACATCCTCATATTAATATATAAAATTCTAAATCCTCAAAATATCAAATGCAGATCCCTCTACAAATTTTGCACTATTGCCTTCATTTTCTGGTTAGTTGGTTGAATGATTTTAACATGAAAAACAGAGAACATTTTATAATGAAGCCAAAATTGTTCGATATTCCTCTTGGGCGGGGAGGCTTTGAATACAGAATGCACATACATACACACAACATTTACTCAATATTCCTGTCCAAGTCTCAGATCTTCCACTGTCTTTTTAAACTGGGTAAGTCAAGTCGCAAGCACTTTGGATGACAAACAGTTACTATAAAAGGAATATGGTTGGTTAGGTCAGGATTTCTCAGACAGCAGACACCTGAGGGTCTCGGTGCATATTCTTGGGAGTCTGAGAGTGTTACAAAGTGTCTTGTTTTGGTGTCTTCATATTATGATATAAATTTAATTATATTCTAGATAATCTCATTCACAACTTATAGCACCTATTATCACAATTTCAGGATCTGATTTTGATTCAGTGTTTATGATCTTGTTGGTGGTAGCTTTTTTGTGGTGACTATGTTTAACTCATCATATGGTGCTCCTCACACTAGAATTGATAAGTTGTATTCTTGATACCTGAGAGATATTTTTCTGTCAACACCAGTCTACATATTATTCAAGATCAAGAGACACTAGGTTAGACAATCTTTCTAATTCCTCCCCTTTTTGAAAAATGTTACATTCTATTGCAGCTTACTAATAATTTATGGAGATCGAATTTAGGGAGCACACTTAAGAGAAAGCAAACTTCACAAGAGGAGTTAGATATGTTCCACTTGTTTTGCTTTTACATTTAAATGCAAATGAAACTTCTGAGATAAGAATAAGGTGGCATTCATTGGTCAAAGTAAAAAAAGGCTGTCAGATAATGGTTAACACTTCTATTAGCAACAGTCACTATCATTTCAAATGGTTTAATGAACTATATATTAACTAGGAGTCAGAAAATCCCAGTTTCTTTTTCCAGTCTTGCCTCTGAGTTGAAATAGCATTTTGGTGTTAGAATGATTCTTGTTAACCCCCACTTTTTACAAAGTTAGTACATTATGCTACTCAATGAATAAAATGCACAATAAATTCCAGGTATGCATGTTATATGATGATAAGGAGTATGTTTCAAATTGTAATTTACAAAATAAATAGGAAAACAACAAATCTATAAAACTCAATTTGCTTTTCTTAATTTTGTTAGTGACATACATAACATGTAAAAATAACAGTATAAATTTTGTTTCTGAATACAATTATGGATTATTTTTATCTAGTTTTAAGAACATTTATGTTTAAATTTGCTTCATCTAATTTAAAAATATTTAGTTTTGTCAATTAGAACTTAAAGATATTTTATTGGTAGAAATCATTGTTTACTGGTTAAAAGCTTAAAAATAAAAGCTTATCATTACTCATATATCATAATCATATATCATATCAAGTTTTTAACCATATACTCTTAAAGGAATTCTCAACTTATATGTATTTTAACAAGAGTCATCTTAACACCAGTAAAGAGAAGTAAAATGTTTGCAAACTGAAAAGATATTCTGAATTTAAAATGCATATACTTGACATTTAAAATATAGTTATTTAATTTTTAATTTTAAAAATTAGGGAAATAAAACATTTAAATCATCTTATTCATATCTGTGATATAAATGTGAATATTAGTTTTAAGTAAAAATTCTCCATAAAGAGGTGTAACTTTTCCTGATATGCAGCATATTAACTGAACACTTTTAAAAAAGAAATGTTTTAAACCACTTCTAAAGTGTTACCAATAGCATAACAAAAAATTACTTATTAAACTAATAAACTATTGATTTTGAAATTTATTGAATTTAAATTATTGATTTTTGATAGATTCATTTTTCTTTGTAAGGTGAAGGCTGGAGAATCTAAGATCAATTTTATAATCACTATATTTCATAATAAGCTTAAGTTTTATCAAGACAGAAACATCACATTCAAATTTAAGTGTTCTTGTTATCCTAGCAAATATAACTGACATTAGTTTATTAAACTCATTTGACACTTTCTCCTTCCTATGAAGGAATTTTCAGCTTTTATTATTCTAAAATTTCTTTTCTAGATGATGTAATTAGACCATTAACTATAATTAGACCACCAAATGACAAATGTGCATTTCCAAAAAGTGAATACTTTTATGTGTTGTGATAAGTAATCTTTTCTTGGACTAGACACCTACAATTGCACAAATGTTAAAATCAGTGCCAAAAAGTTACTCTACCTGAATTGTAGAGCTGATCTCCGATGCAAAACCGCCCGTCAAAGGAGCCTCATGACTGATTAGCAGTCGCCCCGTTTTGATCACAGACTGAAAAAAAAAGAAAAACCTGATGTTGAAGAGAATATTTTCAAGTATGTGCTGGTAGTTTTAATTAGCTAATAAAAATAAATTATTTAAATCCAATAAAGAATGAAAAACTAGTAATTCAATTTTAAGTTACAATTCTCTTTTAACTAGACAGTCATTTGATTTTTGCCATTAAAATTTTTTTCAATATAGTTTATACTCCTAGTACAAAACAAAAATGAAATTTGTAGTTCTATGTATGTCATTAAATATGCATTCCATTATAAAATATTTTGTATTATAAATCAAATTACTGTATTTCACATTTTCATTTCTCAGAATCTTTTTTTTTCATATTACTTTAAGAATAAAAGGGCTGTTTTGTTCATTTTGGGGTATATTTGCATATAAATAAACAGTCTTAGAAAATACTGCTTTGCGGAAAAGGAAAACACAAAAATAGCATGTAAATGCTGTAGCAAAGAAAAAGCTCAAGCTACTAGATATTCAAGGAGACTTAGAAGGAAGAAATCATTGTGAAAGTAAAACGGCTACATCCCTCTATGCCCATGTGCATTAAAATCTGGTTAACAACCACAACCCCGTTTTAATGTAGAAAATCTCACAAATAATAAGGATGTATTCTGAATACTGGCTCAGTGTGGTTGTTCACACTGTGCATGATATATTCTGTACAATAATAAACCAAAAAGGATAGCTATGATATCTTAGCAGGGTGCCAGCTCTGTAAGGTAAAAAATATTAAAATAACTTAAAATACTCTGAACAATTACCATATTACCAAAGAGAAGTGGTAATTTCTCCTCTACATGTCTAATAATTTGATATCACCTTCATTAAATTCTGTATTACTATTTTATTAATATGAGATAAAATCTAAGCAAAATTATGTATATAGATTAAAATTTTTCCTTCATCCGAGGCAATTGGAGTTTAGAATTTTAAAAGTATGTAGCAGTTTAAGCCAGCAGATATTAAATTCCAAGATATGGCCAGCAGCTATAACAAAAACAAGTTACTGTATCTACTAAGTAAATAGTGACTGAAGAACATAAAATTTTATGAACCCTTAATGAACATCATCCCTACTCCCAATGAAATGCTAACCTTGGAATACTGGTATTTGGATTTTATCAGTGATTAATTACGTCATTTATGACAGTCACAAATTAAATTTTGGTGTACCTGGTTAGAAATATAAAGAGACAAAAATAGTCCACGATCATGAAAAAACAAAAACATTCTCAAAGTGTTCTCTAAAAGTTGTCCTTAAAGGATTACTGATTAAAAAAAAAAAGATTTGAGCATCAGACCTTTCTTATAGCTCTGAATCCCAGACCTCTGCCAATGTAAAAGCATCTAAGGATGAGGTAGCTCAAATCCATCTCAGCTTAGATGGTGCATCTTAATTTTCTAAGACACAGAAAGGCAAAACTTCTATAAAAATGCTGCTGTTACCTTAAAACTCCACACAACAGAACTGGTGCTTTTTATCTGAGTTTAGGCCTATTCAAAGTCAAATGACAACCTTGGAATGATTCCTGAAAGCCAATAAGCAACCTAGGCAGACAGCCTAGGCTTCTTATAGCCTGTATGGTGTGGTGGGGAACTAAGCACAGATACACCCAGGACAAAAGCTTCCAACCCATGGGGGTCATGCAACATGATGTGTAAACAGATGAAATCCAGAGACCTTCTGAATGTCTTTCAGCAGGAAAAAGTCTAAATAAACCAAGATGCATCAATACAGTCAAATACTATGCAGCCATGAAAAAGACTGAGGCTATGAAATGATGTCCATGATAAGTTAATTGACAAAATAAGCAAATTACTGAACAGTATAACCTCATTTTTTTGTGGAAAAAACAATCACCACAGCAGTGGAATGCCAATAAATATAGCTATACATAGTGAGCTGACATATATAAATACTCTGGAAGGATTCATTCCAAACTATCAAAACTTATTTCTCCTGAGAAATGACAGCGAAGAAATTGTAGAAAATGGACTTCGGCTTTTTACTTTATATAAAAAGTATTTGCACGTTCTTGAAAGTAGTCTACATAAGTCTAAAATAAATAAAACTAAAGGGAAAGCATTTGAATTAATGCTGAAAGTAACAAATACATATTGTTGTAGTCATTTCCTCAAAATACAACAATGGTTTTTATGGTATCTTAAGACTAACTTCAGATACAAGGAAACCCCGGTTCCAAACTCTATCAGCAAACAGGCACACTAAAAACACAGGGAGGCAGCCTTCCCCTGCCAGTCTCTGTATGATCTTGCGCGTGTCAGGATCACATCCAGCTCATCTCTCGACCATGAAGCTCTTGGCTCCTAGGCAAAGTAGGAAATAAACTGCTGGGATCAGAGAAGGTCAAGTTCTTCGACACCTCTGTGTGTGTCATACAAACGTGTGCTCTTACAACAGGAGCTACGCACTGACAATTATGGAAGTAAGTCCAGAAATGTCTAAAACACCAAAAGCAAGAGGGTAGACACAATGAAAATCAGTAACACTGTGAGTTTATGGAAATTGTCAAGCTATACAGACCAGTGAGAGAGAGAGGGTGTGTGGCAAGAAGAGAGGAGTCAGAAATACTGATCACAATCATAAACAACTGATTGTCACAGGAGTTGCTATGTGCCTGGTTTTGAGCTCAGCGTTTTACATTGAATACTTCAGTTAATTTTGAAAGCACCTAAGTTTCATTTTTGCTTCTTAAAATCAACCCTAATACTTAAAAAACATTAAAACGTATAAAAAAATTGCATCAAAATCCTGGAAAATGACAAAATTTAGAAGTAACACTGATACTGTCAAGTCATACTCTCAAACGATTAGCAAATAACATAAAAAGACTGAGTCTATAAATACACTTCAATGATTTTGTAAGTTATACTATAAATTAAACTTGGTGTATGCTTTTTAATCATTCAGCTTTAATTTACTAAAATTTCTGAAGGTAGTTTCTTTTCTATACTATTTTGGAAATTAACACTTAATATTATGATAATGAGCTTGTTACAAATCTACAAAATTGAACAGACTGTTACTCTTTCTATTCTTTGGGATTTGGTTAGCTATTCCAATTAAACTACATGTTTTTGTCAACTCTAACAGGCAACTGATTTTCATACATTGAGGCACAATGATATATAACTGCCAGGAAATTTTACTAGCCAAATTCAGCATTTTGACATGCAAGTACTTAGATAGTATGAATTAATATGGGGCCTTTCACCGGAGACAGCTGCTAACCTTTTTTAAATAAATAACTATAGATATAACTACCAATAATACTTTAAAATTTATGTTTCAATTTTAATGTTTCAAGTTTTCTTCTGAGATAAATGTATTCCGTCACTTGAAAAAACTTGAAGTGTTTAAACAGCTTTTCAATATGAAAGCTGAACTTATCTAAGCCAGGAAAGATCACACACATAAGGCTGGATTTTCCCGTATCTGCTTCTTCAAACTCTTGCCACTCCGACCTGCTCCAGGACCCTGGCCGTTGGCAGATGGCGCACCAGTGAGTTAGAGAGGACAAATGGCACCAGGGAAATCTGTGCCAGTGAAAGACCAGGACTGTGAATGACTGTTTTCTGTGTCCTTTAACACAAAACAAAAGGGCTTTCTTTCCTAGAGGGGCTTGAGAGGATGTATCAAGAAAACTTTAAAAAAACAAATCTGAAAGGCTAGGAGTCACACAGAAACACCGTGTGGCTGCTAAGTCAGTTAGCACTGGTCTACCCTGGATTTCTCCCAGGGAATCTCATTTTCTCACCGTTTCAGTTAGTCGTCCCCTCCCCTGAGAAACAGCAGCATCTATTACAAGAGGAGGTATCAAAATCTCAACACTCAACGCAGGATGACATTGCCAACCACAGAAGAATCACCATTTCCCTGTTCCGATGGAACCCCGAGGATACTTCGTTCCTGGTTTGGCCACTTCATGACTGTTCCCCATTGTCCATCTTCTACCCAGACGTCATTCCTAACGGCGGTCACTTCAAGTTATCTAGGCAGGATACCTAGCACAATGCTCAGGAGATAGCAGACGCTCAAGCAATTTAACTAGTTAAATCTATTAAAATAACTTAACTAGATTAAGCACGTCCTTGCTTACCTTATTGAAGCTATTGCTTTCTTGGCAAAATCAATCTTTAAAATAGTGCAAAACTATACTTCAGCACATCCCCGAACAATTTAAATATGAAATAATAGACTCCAAATTGAGGATATTTTAACATAGCTTTAATAGCAAGAAGTCTGTGGTAATAGCAGAGTTGCTAAGTTATACTCCATTAAAATGACTGCACAGATTTTGGCTGCCCAAACATTAGACATATGGTTTAGTGAATGTAGCCTTTAAACATTTTACACAATCCAACCAGGAAAACTGTTATGCTGTCATTCCAGGAGAAAATAATACAGCCAGGCAGACCATTAAGCTTGCATATGCCTGAAAGTGAAAGAATGACATTCAAAAAGCAAAATGCATATACATATATGTTTTATATCTACATATATTTTATACATATTAAATATATGTATATTAAATACATGTATATTTAATATGTATATGTATATATGTAAATATTTATATGTATATATGTATATATGTAAATATTTAATATGTATATATGTATATATGTATATTAAATATATGTATATTAAAATATACATATATTTTACTCCTACTCAAAATCTATAGCAAGATTTTTTTCCCCTACAGAGCAATTCAACACCAAGTTTGGTCACCTTTTCTGACTTCTGATAAGTAGAAAAGTAACACTTTGAATAGGCAATTTATAGCTCTTTTAACATTTTCTTTCTAAATATAAGGCTAACAAAAGGCAAAGGAAACATCAAAGTTGGCCTTTACCACTTCCTTTTGAAATCAAATCTGCTTAGAAATACAAGCAGAAGAGTCAACTCATATACCTGTGCTTTATTGATCAAAAACATATATTTATTTATACCATTCAGAGTC